TGGAACCTTTACTCACAGGACCGATCTCTACTGAGACTGTTCCTGTCAGTACGGGCTGCAGGGCGAGGCTCTTTCCAAAGAAACAAACAATGCTGAATTGATTATGTTTGACTGCTTTCCAAAGACCCATTTCTATAATATGATCTCTCATAGCTGCATGCATATGCCAAGTTTTTGCCACAGCGATACACAATTTATCTAGTTTTCTCGGCTGCAGACACCGCATTTGCAGCTGTGTATCAGCATTTCGGAGCAATATGGAGCATGTTGCATTTTAGTTTATTTTAGTTTGTAGACGTTCCTAACACAACTGAAAATGGATCTTATTTTTTCCCTTAGATTTACAATAATTCTATGGGCTGGTTAGGTGAACCAGATATCTTGCTTGCAGGCTGCATCTCTCAGAGGACATCATAAATATGACTCTGCTTTAGTCTCATCTCCTTCATCTTCCCATATTAAGTGACCCTCTGAGAAATCAGGCCTGACTACCACCTTGCTTTGGAGAAGCTTGTTTTAGTCACATCAACGGTAATTAGACTATTAACAAGAAAGGGGAAGTAAGTCCTGGCAGTTGACTAATGAACAGCTTGACAAGTGACGCAGTTGCAAGGGTGGCCAGCGCGAGGCTGACCCATAGCACAGAGAGAGAAGAGTTTAGCTTGAACAGCAGCAAAAACAAAAGTGCCATTAGGGAAACTCAGCTCTCTTTCCTTTCTGTTTCTGTTTCTGTGACTGCCAGAAATGAATTTTGTGTTGGTTGATCTATGAGGTCTTGAAACTGGTCTATGCCAGTTAAAAATGGTGTGATTTCTAGCCACACAAAACCAGCCTACAAAATAACATTTGACTCACCGATCCAGTAAATAACCAGTATCCTTCAGCGAACAGGTGAAGGGAGTTCTCTAGAGTTCACAATAAACAAGGAAGTACTTACAGTTTTATCTTTTAGGTGATAGGAACAGTGTGTTACAGCTGAAATTTGCACAGAGAAGCACCTGATATAATGTCCTTGCTGTACTCATATCTACAGAACAATGGAAAATCAACCCACGCAGCTCTTCACACCTTAGTAGAAACTGTACGTTGTCCCTGCTGTTCAGAAGATATGCAAAGGAAAGCTCTGCACACTTCCCTAAGTGTTTCCTGAAATACCAACCATGCTGTTTGGGCTGGCACTGCTGAAGTATCCACATGGGCTGGAGAATCACTCTGACACCTGGTGCTAGGGAGAAGGAGAAGGCGGCAAGTGACCGCCTGATCTTCCCCGTTCACAGCTCCTGGATCAGGGGACCCTAGAGGAAATCCCTGTTTAGAATGCTTCATCTGGACTCTGCTGGTTTCTACTGGAAACCAAGACCCATAGCCCAGTTATACACTGTTTCTTTGTTCCAGGACCTAGCTGCCGTATGAAACCCATAGCAACAAGCTGCAATTTTCAGTGGGAATTTCCACAAAGGAAGGGAGCTATTCACTACCCTCAAGGGAGGAGGAGATACTTTGGGCCCAATCTCTATTCCAGCAGTAGGATTGGACGGGGGGAAATTTGTCACCCAGTACCCCCAGGACGGGAAGGGGAGTCAGCTCGTGCCTCGTCAGCTTGGGGTCCCACAATTTGTAACTCTGGGCCAGTTACTGACAAGGTCGGTCAGTTATCTGAGCTGCAGCTTCTGTGGCAAGGCACCTCCTCCGTCGCTGGGCTTAGCATTTCCCCCTCTGGTGTGACAGGGCCTGGAGTAAATTAGCCCCACCCCGGAGAGTGTTTGGCTAGGTCTACACTGGGGGAGGGGCTGGGGGTGTCAACCTAAGATACGCAACTTCAGCTACGCGAATAGCGTAGCTGAAGTCGGCATATCTTAGATCGATTTACCTGGCTGTGAGGACGGCGGCGAGTCGACCGCTGCCGCTCCCCCATCGACTCCGCTTCCGCCTCTCGCTGCGGTGGAGTTCCGGAGTCGACGGTAGAGCGATCGGGGATCGATTTTATCGCGCCTACACTAGATGCGATAAATCGATCCCTGATAGATCGATCACTACCCACCAATCTGGCGGGTAGTGTAGACATACCCTTTGTCTCCCCCTTTGGGGTTATTTATCAATGTTATCAAGGTAGGCCTGCGGCAGGCCCAAGGAGCACTCCTCCACCAAACAAAAGAAACAAATCCACAAACACAAAACAAAGAGGGTACCTTTTCTGGCCCCTTCTTGGGGAGTGTTGTCCTGTTAGGTCATTCCCCATAACAGGCACTCAGTTTTGGTTGTTTCCCCTGTAGGGAGGAGAGCAGCCTCTCACCCTGGAGAAGCCTATCTCCTGTCTAACACTAGCCTTGCGGCAGCTCGTCTCTCACTCCTCTCTCTCACCAGAGGAGGAGTTTTAAAGGTCTCAGGCAGCCTTTAATCGGACTCATTGATTTTAGGGCCAGAAGGGATCATCATGATCATCTGTCTGACCTCCTGCACGTTGCAGGCCACAGAACCTCACCCACTCCTGAAATAGACCCCTAACCTCTGGCTGAGTTACTGAAGTCCTCAAATCATGGTTTAGACCATCTCTGACAGGTGTTTGTCTAACCTGCTCTTAAAAATGACGGCATTCCATTCTCCAATGACGGCATTCCACAACCTCCCTAGGCAATTTATTCCAGTGCTTAACCACCTTGACAGTTAGGAAGCTTTTCCTAATGTTTTATCTGAATCTCCCTTGCTGCAATTTAAGCCCATTACTCCTTGTCTTGTCCTGAGTGGTTAAGGAGAACAATTTATCACCTTTGTCTTTATAACAACCTTTTACGTACTTGATGACTGTTATCATGTCCCTCCTCAGTCTTCTCTTCTCTAGACTAAACAAACCCAATTTTTTCAATCTTCCCTCAGAGGTCATGTTTTCTAGATCTTTAATCATTTTTGTTGCTCTTCTCTGGACTTTCTCCAGTTTGTCCACATCTTTCCCAAAGCGTTGTGCCCAGAACTGGACACAGTACTCCAGCTGAGCCCGTATCAGCGCAGAGTAGAGCGGAAGAATTACTTCTTGTGTCTTGCTCACAACACTCCTGCTAATACATCCCAGAATGATGTTCGTTTTTTTTTTTGCAACAGTGTTCCATTGTTGACTCGTTTTTAGTTTGTGATCCACTACAACCCCCAGGTCCTGTTCTGCAGTACTCCTTTCAAGGCAGTCATTTATTTATTTGTTATTTATATCTAAGGCACAAAAGAAGTGGGGGTGGGGGGGTGGAAACAAGACAGCCTTTTAGGCCTTCTTTATAAAGAAGCACAAGAAGAATTTTTTTCTGCCTTTCCCAGACCATCTTTAAGCATGTGTAGAATGTAGCTCCTTTCCTTTGAAATCAATGGGAGCTGAGCACTTTTGAAAATCAGGCCACTTTTATAGGCGCCCAAGTGGGGACTAGGAGCCTAACTTTAGGCCACCGTGTTTAAAATTCTTGACGCAAGGGCATTAGAACAGCCCATGCAACCTTAACCACGAACTTCTCAGAGAGGTCTGGAAGGACATTTGGCTCACAGGGTCCTTCCCTGCTATCCAGGAGAATTTACATGGCCGGAGGTGAGCGGAGGGCTGTGGCAATCACCCCAGATTTCTTTCTGTGAAGAGCAGCCTGTGGATGGTGAAAGAGGAGTGGCCGATAAGCTTCCATCTCGCCATGGCCGTGTTCTCTGCGGATGGCTGTCCTGATAGTGCTGTCTTCCCCATAACTGCTGGACGTGCGCAGAGCATCCCGAGCTGAACGTTAAAAGCTTGTATTCTCTTAATGCCATTGTCTTGGAGAATCATGGGGACGGTGTAGCTGGCATGCTGCCATTTATCGAGCCTGCCCAGAAACGGTGAGTGCCCTGGCTGCTGGTGAGCGCCTCGGCTGCAGCACGACTGGCCTCGTCAATTCTCCATCTCTCCAGTGGGTTGTTAACCCCAGAAGGATGGGGCAATGTTGCAAGGCTGGCTGGTGCTCAGAGCTCGGCAGTACAGATGAAATTCACCTCTATACACAAGGCCCGTGCACCACATAAGTCCTGCTGTTTCAGAGACCGAAGTGGGAGTGTCCAGGATCTGAGAAGGGGGAGACCAAAAACCACACTAACAAAAAACATGTTCCCTTTAGGAAGACCTCCAAACCGACCCCGGCTGGCACAGTTCCTATTTCTAGGCTTCCTCCTGATTGCACCCAGACTGCCCCTTAAAGGTGTAGTACACCCCCACCACAGGGACTGAAGTGATGCATCGGCATGTGCTTTGCCAAGGGCATTCTGCCAGGGCTGAATTTCATTACGGAAGAGCAGCACTGGGTGGTTTTGATCAGAATTTACATCACGTCTGAGCAGCTGTGTTCCTAACGGTACCGGAGGAGATTTCAGGAGTGGTATTCGGTATTTGGCAAGCCTGGCAAAAGTATATTGGCCTCATCCTGGCATCTTTTATAGCTAGGGCCCTACCAAATTCATGACCATGAAAAATGTGTCACGGACCCTAAAATCTGGTCTCCCCCCATGAAATCTGGTCTTTTGTGTGCTATTACCCAATACTATACAGATTTCATGGGGGAGACCAGCGTTTCTCAAATTGGGGGTCCTGGCCAAAAGGGACTTGCAGGGGGGTCACAAGGTTATTTTGGGGGAGTTGCAGTATTGCCACCCTTATTTCTGCACTGCCTTCAGAGCTGGGCAACCGGAGAGCGGCGGCTGTTGGCCAGGCACCCAGCTCTGAAGGCAACACCCTGCCAGCAGCAGTGGATAAGTAAGGTTGGCAATACCACACCATGCCACCCTTACTTCTATGCTGCCGCTGGTGACGGCTCTGCTTTCAGAGCTCCCAGCCAGCAAATGCTGCTCTCCAGCTGCCCAGCTCTGAAGGGAGTGTCACCGCCAGCAGCAGAGCAGAAGTAAGGGGAGCAGTTCCGCAACCTCCCTTACAACCATCGCCGCCCCCCCCCCCCCAATCCCTTTTTGGGTCAGGACCCCCTACAATTACAACACTGTGAAATTTCACTAGATTTAAATAGTGGAAATCATTAAATTTAGGACTTTTTAATTCCTATGACCATGAAATTGACCGAAATGGACTGTGAATTTGGTAGGGCCCTAACCATGTGACTCAACAATATCCTGTGGCAGAGAGTTCCACGGGTTAATCCCAATAACCTATATGCCAATGAGTCCCGCATGCTCCTGACAACCTTCCCAGCAGATCATTAGTGCTCAGCTGTTTACCTATGTACTGCGGAGTCCCGCAAAGGCTTTTGAAGGTTACTCCATCTTCCAGCTTTTGGGCCAGACCAAAATCGATAATCTTGATTTTCGGGTTGGGGACATCTTTCTCCAGCAGCATGATATTCTCTGGCTGTGGGGGAGGGGAGGGAGGGAGACACCATGAGCCCAGTTCTCCGTCACCCCACGTGGTCATTGACACCGGTGCAAAGCAAGTGCGGGAACGTGATCAGATCGGGATGGGCAGCATCTCGCACCCACTTTGCACTGGCGCAAACAGACATAAGGGGCAGCATCGGGGCTTACAGGGTCGACTCGCCCGGCAGGCCCCATGCCCCACAGCCTCCCCCGTGCCCACTGCTGGGCTGCGGCAGCAGCGGAGGTTGGAATAGTCGTGCGGCGGGCGCGTGATTGGAGGGGGAAGCCAGCAGGGAGGACGGTGGGTTTCCCAGGCGAGTTCCTTCCGAGACCCCCGCCAGGCGAGGCTGAGATCCGAGCGTGGAAGTGGGAGATTCATGCAGCCAGGGAGAACAGCCCCACTGTCTGGGCTGCATTTTAGTCCATTGCCCTGGCCCCATCTCACAGGGGAGATCTAATTTCTACAGCAGCGGGGGACTGCAGGGGTATGAAACGGACCAGAGCCTGCAGTGTTACCTCTGGCCAGCAGGTGTCAGTGTAACCTCAGAGGCCGTGCGAGGAGTTCAGCGAGAGGAGAGTTTGCGGGGAGGGGGAGAGAGGAGATGGGACGGGCAGGAGGCAGCCTGAGGGGAGAGCGGGCTCTGCAATGGGGCCAGCCCACACGCATGGGTCCATCCCAGACCCCCTTGCACATGGGGAAAGCCACAGGCTGGGCACCATGGGCCTGGGGTCTCTGAAGCTGCTCTGGCAGTGTACAGGGGCCTTGAAGTGGGTGGAAGCAGCCCCCTGACAGCCCCTCCCCACCCCCATGAATGGGGCTTCCCTGGCTGGGGTGGAGCTGGTGTCACGGGCCCTGCACTGGCCCAGTCCCCAGAATGAGGTCGGCTCGGAGGGGCGGCTGGAGCAAGCTGCGTTATGGGTATTCGCTGCTCCGCAGGGAGGAGAGTGCGAGTTAGAGCAGCCCTGAGGCCGCTCTGATTTACACGGAGAGCCTTGCAAAGCTACAAAGGGCGTTTGGCCCCCTCCCGCCCGTCTCCAACCCCCTCCCACATGCAGGGCGGGAGCCGGGAGCGACTGAGAATCAACGGTGAAGGGGCCAGAGGCAGTGCCTGCGCCAGGCAGGGAGGGGGCTGGGCACCTTGAGGTCGAAGTGGGCGACGTGCCGCCCGTGCATGTAGGCGACGCCCTCCAGGATCTGCTGCAGGAACTCGATGGCCTCCGCCTCTGTCAGCGTCTCCTTCTCGGCAATGAAGTCAAAGAGCTCCCCGCCGCGGATCCTGAGAGCGGAGAGGGAGAGCGGGTGAGGCCTAGAGACATGAGAGGGCCCAATCCTGCTCCCACTTACGGCAGGGCCCTGGGAGTGGCCGGAGCCAGGCTGGCCTGAGGGGCAGGGACAGCAGCAAGCGCATGCTAGAGCTCCATTGTCCCCTGGCATCACAGGATCTTAAAGCCCTGACGTAGGTGGGGTCAGTTCCACATCCCCCCTGGGGAAACCGAGGCACAAAGAGGGGAGTGATTTGTCCTGGGGTCACAGAGCAGGACAAGGCAGCGTGGGGAATAGAACCCAGGAGTTCTGACTTAAGAGACCTGTGCGCGACCCACTCGACCACGCTGCCCCAATTCCACGCTGCAGTTCCTGTCCATTACAGCGGCCACGTTCCTCCTCAGAGGTGGCTGCATTTCCAAGCAGGGCGAGTGCTCCCTGCTCAATGCTGCTGTTAATCAGCGGCAGCGTTCCACCTAAGAAGTGGCTGCATTTCAGTGAGGGCAGGAAAGCGACCCCTGTACAGCCATCGTGCAGAAGCCTTCTAGACAGGAGGCGCTATCCAGACAGATTGTCATGTCATACACACAAGGCAGACAGATAGGAGTGTACAGACACACATACAGGCATGGATCACATAGGGTCCTGGTCACCTTGTGCAGTCACAAGGGGGGGGGGGTGTGAAAGGTTACTGTGGCACCCACTTTGCCAGCACAAGGAGCAGGGCAATGGAGAATCAGGCCCATTAACCGCAGGATCTAAATGAGATTTGCCTGGATGAAAAAAATTCAGCCAACCGACCTCAAATAGCTAAGCGGACACTAAGTCAAATCCATGCTCCTCACACTGGAGAGACGCCATCCAAAGGGGAGAGCTCAGGATTTCAAACCTTCAGCTGCCCCATCCCAGAGCGCTCAGGGCCAGGACCCCACGGCTCCACCGTGCCAGAGGACCATAGCTGCTGCGTGCGGGGCGGACCTAAGCAACTCGTGCCTTCTGGGGCTTTGAAACTTATCACAAACACCTCGACTCACCCATGGGGAGCTGGCACAGAGCTCAGAGCCCAGGTATGACATGCTTGGGGACGGGAGCAACTGTTTCCAGCCAGGTGAAGAGTGGGAACTAGTGGTTAGAGCAGTAGGGACTGGCAGCCAGGACTCCTGGGTTCTATCCCCATCTCGGGAGGGGGAAGAGTGATGTATAGGGGTTAGGGCAGAGACCGGGATCCAGGACTCCTGGGTTCTTTGACAACTGTGCCACTGAATGACCTTGGTGAAAGTCTTGTCCGTTTCTCTGTGCCTCAGTTTCCCCATGGGTGCCATGGGGGCTGATCCCCCAGCAGGGAGGGGGCGAGGTGTGCGCTAAACACATCGAGCGTTATTAGAGTGGGGGGAGGGGGAGCCCACGTGCCCTGCCCCCCCTCCCACTCACAGCTCCAGGATCAGCACCATCTCGGCCTTGCTGGCGAAGAGGTCGTGCAAGCGCAGGATGTTGGGGTGCTCCAACTGCTGCAGGATGCTGACCTCCCGCTCCACCTGCTCGCGGTCCAGCCCCAGCCGGCTCCCCTTGCACTTGCGCATCTTCACGAACTTGGCGGCGTAGAGCGTCCCCGAGCTCCGCTTCCGGCAGCGCTTCACCACCCCAAAGTGCCCGCTGCGGGGACAAGGTGGAGAGAGACCTTGGTGGGTGGGGGCTGGTGGAGCAGGGGGGGGGGCAGGAGTTGGGCAGTGGACATCAGAACGGGTAAGCAGTGCCCCCTCTCCCCAGCGCCCACTCCCCTCCCAGAACTGGGAATAGAACCCAGGAGTCCTGACTCCCAGCCCCCTCCCCCCACCACCAGCCCCCACTCCCCTCCCAGAACTGGG